CCGAAAGCACTGAAGAACCTCACGTACATCTGAATGAGCTCCAGCCATGGCGAAACAGTGTCTGTAAAATGTTGGCAGAACCACGAGGCTCTCGTACCTTCAGTCATTCCGGATCATGCAATTTACTCGTTCACGAACAAAAATAAGACCCCCTAATTAACACATCGCTGAGCTGACTGCCGACAAAATTTACACTCTCGCCGGTCTCTTACGACCGTGCTCTCTGAGTGGTTTCCAGTTAACTGTGGAGTTCGCTGGCTACTGTTTTCGTTATTCAGTATGGTTCTTGACTTTCTTCTTAGAAGCAGCACTAACCCTGGCAAACATGAAGATTTCATATTCGAAGGAAGGCGCAGTTATATCTATCCGGCTAGATGACTTACTGACCCGGGATATGCAGATGATCCAAGACGGTGGTAAGTGGAGCGGCCTCTGTCTCCTCACGGCTTCCATTTGCAACACAACTGCGAAAGCCGGACTGGAGGTGCAAAATTAGGAGGAATTTCCCAGCACTTAGGCTTAATTTTATGCCTAAGAGTACCTTTATGGCATCTTTAAGCTCAATCTTGTGCTTAGACATATATTTATGTTTCATGTTAAACTTAACTTTAGGCTTAAGTCTAGGGTTGCGATTAGGCTTAAACGTAGTTTTAAACTTTGGCCTACCGTTTGATCTAAGCTTGGGTTCGGACTCGGTCTTTCCTTAGGCTTATACCATGGTTGTAGTCTAGAAATAAGCTTAATCTAGTCTTTGGTCTATGTGTAGGCTGTAACTTAGACTTCAGCTGAGACTTAATCTCAGACTTACACTTAAGATTAGACCTTGGCCTTTGCTAAAGCGAAGATTTTGGCTCAGGCTTTGGATTAGGATTGACCAAAAATCTTGGATTTCCGTCCATCCTGATTCTTTGGCTTAGTCTTAGGCTTAGCCTTAGAGTTAAGTTGAAATTTAGGTTAGGCTCTGACCGGGCATCATCCTTGGCTACTTCTTAGGTTTGCTGTTATTGCTAGGCTCGAGTTGAGTCTATTATGGGCTTGTACTTAGACGTAGGAATAGCTTATGTTAAAGTTAGGATAAATTTATGTTTAGGCTATAAACATCTGCTCTGTCATTACGAAATGAAGAAGCATTCATCGGCTGACTTGTTGATAGGCGCTGTTGTCTCTTTATGATAATCTACGCTACATTGCAGATCTCATCAGTTTGTGTACTCTGTCCTTGACCCTGATATCTCAGATGACGGTGACAATAACAACAGCGGCCATTGCTGGAACAGCGCTTAATATCGTGAGGAGCTGCAGTTGCAAACAAAGAAAGGAATGATATCTAGAAAAAAACACACAACAACCTAGGTGATCGATAATAATACAGTGCCTTGTGTACTTGTGCCAAAAGATTTACCTCGTTTAGCTTTCAATTGCAGCCACTTGATTTAACCTGTTCCAACCGTTGTTCACACACATACCCCAACGGTCAGCGACGACTGACTGTATCGAAGCGGAGGCATTCGAGGCGGGCCAACCTTCAGCTCGCCACCTTAGACGTGAAGCGAACAAAGCCTCCTACAAAGAACCGAAAGCATGGGTCGAACAAAGAGGAAACGCTCGCCCTCGGCATGTCTCAACACAAAGACGCAGATTGCATCGGAAGTACAATCAGCAGGCAACGCGGATTGGTCCCCGAGGATGAACAAAGAATCCACAGGTGTACCAAAGATCCATTCGGCACTGGAACGAAAAAGATTACGGTGCAGACATGAAGACCATGATATCTTGTGTATGTGCGCTGTGCTTGGAAGCAAAGCCTTGTGACCAGATTCCGTTTCCTGTTTTCTAGTAACCCCCAAACTGTTGTAATTTGTCTTGTTGAAAAGATAATTTGTCAATTTTGACGGCTCGG